TCAGGAGAAAGCTCTGGAGGCCTTGGGACGGGGCCTCGAGGACAGGGACGGGGAGGCCAGGGAGCGGGTACTGGAGTCTCTCGGCCTGAGGGGCAACACTGAGCCACAGCCAGGGCGCCTGCGGCAGCACCTGCTCCATGCGCTCCCAGAGGTCGAAGCCGTTGGGCCACGCGATGAGGCCGCCTCTGGCCAGCGTGGCGACGGTGTCGGCGAGCTCGTTCCACGGGTCCGCCATGTGGCCGCTGACGTGCGACCAGAGGATGTCCTCCGCGCTGTGTCTCAGCACCTTGACGATGCTGTCCAGGAAGCTGGCGTACGGCGCGTAGTGCTCCAGCGCGGCACCTCCTCTCCCTATGTCTACCACGTAGTTGTTGTTGGTGTAGAAGCTGATCACTGGCAGCTGCGCATGCTTGCCCGTCTCGTCCACAGCCACCTGGAGCTGCAGGAGCCAGAGGATCGCGGCAATCATCGCACAGATCTCTGCGGCACCTGACGGCTGGCTGAACTGTTCCCCCAGCGTCGGCATCGCATCGCCCATCGTGCCGATGAGCACGAACTCGTCGTCGTGCGTGTAGCCCAGCACGACGAAGGCCCAGGCCGGCGGCCCTGGGAGATGACCGTGCGTGCTGCCGCCCGAGCCATCCGTGTAGATGAGTAGCGTCTCGAACAGGCTTGGATCAAAATCGCCCTGCAGACGCGAGCACTTGGAAAGTACTCCCTTGGTGGAGCTGTGAAGGTATTGCTCTCCATACTCGACGAAGCCCTTGTCGATGGAGATTGGCCATGCTGCCCTCAGCACGGCCATGTCGGCTGCTGTGTCTGGAATTGGCGTGTCAACACCACTCCTTGGCAGCGCCTCTGATGGTGAAGTCGTTGTGGCGGCTCTGTCTACCGGGCCACACCCCCCTGTCGCTTCCGTCGCCGCTGAGGACGGTAGCGGGGGCTGGCCCGGGTAAACTAGCCCAACGGCCGCCCGTTGGCGTCCAACCGCTGCCCCTCTCTGACGTCGCTCATGGCGTTCTCGTCGGCGGCGGTCGGCGCCTGGCACTGCTGCAGCTCCTGCAGTGGGGAGCGGGCTGCCGCCAGCTCGACCACGTCGCCATTCTCGTCTTTCATGACCTTGACGGCTCCCTCTGCGCTGTCCGTGGCAGCTCCTCCAGTCGATAGGGCCAGCCTCCTCTGGCCTGGCGGCGGGGGCTCCGCAAACGCCTTGGCTGGGGACTTGGCTGCCTTGCCTGCGCTCGCGCTCTTCTGGCTGGTGGGCGGCCTCCCTCCACCTGGAACGGGGATGTCCTCCGCTCCTGCGGCCTGCGATGGCTGGCCTTGGAGGGGGCGCCCATTGAGCGCTGCGAGGATCTGCCCCAGCGTGTCCTGCATGGACCCCATCTGTGTCTCCAGCTTCGCCACGCGGTTCTGATCTTGGGCCGTGCCTGTGTGTGACCACGCTGGCCTCACTGGCATCTGCTGCTGCCCTGACGAGCCACCTCCGTAGCCGTCGTCATCCGCGTCCTCGATCTCCTCGTCGCTGTCGTCCGGCACCGCCGCGTCCCTGGCGAACTTGTGCGCGGCTGTCTCCGCCGCGGCGTGGGCACCTCCCTCTGGCGGGTAGGCGCACCAGTGCTCCAGCTGAGCCATCTGCGCCATGAACTCCTGCGCGTGCTGGTACTCCTTCTGGGCCTTGAGCGTCTCCGCCTTGCACGCCTCCGCCGCCAGCTCCGCGGCGAACTGGGCGTCCTAGGCGGCCGACAGCGCTTTCTTGGCCTTGTTGACGAACTGCTCCTGCTTCTCCATGCGCGTGGTCGGGTCCTTGGCGAGGATGACCTGGCAGTGGAGCGCAGCATACTCGTTCTCCGCCTGCTTGAGGCGCTGCGGGGAGACCTGCTCCGGCGGCATGCTGCGGATCGCCCTCGCCGCCTCCGCCGCCGCCACCATCGCCTTGCGCAAGGACTCCCTGTGACGCTTGAGCCCTGCGGCGATCGGCGGGGCGGACAGCCAGCTGGGGTGGTGCTGCGCCTGGTTCGGCAGCATGGGCAGGATGCCGATGTTGCCCGAGGCCGCTGGCCCTCTAGCAACTGCCTCTCCTTGGTCTCCTGCAGCAGCTCCTCGCCCGTGTCCTCCTCTGTCTGCCGAGGCAGAGCGCTTCCTCCAGGGGGGTTTGGCCTTTTCCTTCTGGCCTCCACCTCCTCCTCCCTTGGGCGCTCCGCAGCCCCTGCATGTCGCTCTCGACGCGAAGTTGTCCTGGCTGCACTTCACAAAGGAGCAGCGCCAGGTTGACGGATGGCCTGTCGAACGTGACGACGCACGGTCTCCCAGCGCCATCCTGCCGCTGCTGTGGTGCTTGTCCAGTAGGCCTGCCGCCGCACCAAGCCGCAGGAGCACTCGTGCGTTGGCACGCTCCTTGCGGCGGCGGCGGTGCCAGGCCGGATCCTGATCTCACTACCTACCAAACCACCCCAACCCAACCCGAAGGCCTCCATTTGCCCTCCATTTCCAGTGGGGGGGGGTCGGGGAACATCGAGAGAACACGTATGGAACCCATACCCCCCCCAACCCGAAATTTGGGTCTTCGGGTTGGGTTGGGGTGGTCTGGTAGGTAGTCATGATCGGGGCCGCGCGGCGTGGCGGCGCCCGTGGTCGCGCGACCGCGGAGGTGTCGCAGGCCACTGTGGCCTGCACCCAAACACCTCGAGCAGGTCACGGCGACTGGAGGGAGAGGAGGGAGGGAGGTAGGAGCGGGCAGAGGAGGAGGAGGGAGGGAGGGTAGGAGGACAGGGGGGGGGGAGCGGAGGGAGAAGGAGGGAGGGAGGGCAGGCGGGAGGAGGCAGGGGGGAGGGAGGAATATGCGGGAGGGAGAAGAAGGGGTGCAGGAAGATGAGGAGTTGTTGGAGGGGGGCGTGGGTGATGATGGTGGTGTTGCTGCTGATGATGATGATGATGCTGCTGAGGATGATGATGATGATGATGATGATGCTGCTGAGGATGATGATGATGGCGATGCTGATGATGGTGATGATGATGATGATGATGATGATGATGGTGATGGTGATGATGATGATGCTGATGATGATGATGCTGATGATGATGATGATGCTGACGATGATGGTGATGCTGGTGATAGTGGTGATGGTGATGATGATGACGACCATGATGATGACGATGCTGCTGATGATGATGATGCTGATGATGATGATGATGCTGATGATGATGATGATGAGTTTGATGATTGTTGTGATGGTGGTGATGATGATGGTAGTGGTGCTGATGATGGTGATGATGACGATTGTGATTATGATAATGATGACGATGATGATACTGATGATGATGTTGTTGTTGATGATGGCGGTGATGGTGATGATGATGGTAGTGGTGCTGATGATGATGATGATGATGATGAGGAGGAGGAGGAGGAGGAGGGTTCGAGTAAACCAATGATGCACAAGCGATGCCGCAATACTCTCTTCTTTCCCTAGCCCCCTCCTACGCAATTAGCAGTCCCTCCATTCACTTCGAGAAGCGACCACCCTTGACAGGCTATCACAGTTGAGCCTGTCAGTTTGGCGAGGGCCCCACTTCGAAAAATAATTGCCTTTCACTTGTGGTCAGTAACGCGCGAAGTATTGTTCATACAGCTGAACGACGTGGCCAGCGATATCTCCTTTTCGAGGAAGGGCCGCCCCCGCGATCCTTGGAGTTGCCGAGCCTCTTGCCTTTCGTGTTGATGACCTTCGAGGAAGTCCCGAGCTTGAGCCCCACTTTGAAAAAGGGCCGCCATGGGCTCGTGCATTGCTGCGTCCATTGACGTGTCGGGCCCTTGACCCTGGCGAAGTCCCAGGCGACAGCCCAACGTCGAAGAAGAGCCGCCTTCCCTGCTGCTGAACGCTGCAATCGGACAGCAGATTCACGCAGGCGCCGAGGCGAGGGCTCCACTTCTGCAAAGGAGCCCCCCTTTCATCCGTGCAGTCGGTGCGAAGTGGTACAAACGACGTGCGGCTTCAAGGCGAGAGCGGCGCTCCTGAAAGCCACCCCGGTTCGACTCGTGAGCCGCGTGCCAGCTCTGAGGACGAGTGTGCGCAGCGCTGAGGCGAGAGCCACTCTCTGAGAGCACGCCCATCCATCCGTGAAGCTGCTGCAGGCTTGTGAGAAAAGGCGCGCGGTGACTATGCGAGAGGCACATCTTGAAACACCGCAGCTGCTGACAACGATGGCGCGCGGCGCGGAGGCGAGCGGAGCATTCTGAAGACGGCCCCCCATCCGTCCGTGCAAGTGTCGCGAGCGTGAAGGGCGAATTTTCGCGGCGCTGGTGCGAAAACCACATTGTGAACAGGAGCTGCCCTCCATCCGTGGGGCCGCTGCAGACTTTGGGGGCGCACGCGCGCTGCGCTCAGGCGAGGGACGCGTGTTGACAGCGGCCCCCCATTCGTCCATGAAGTTGGTGCGAGCTCTTGCAGCGAACGTGTGCGGAGTTGAGGCGGGTGCTGCATTTTGAAAAAATGCGCCGCGTCCCATCTGCTGTGAAGCTGTTGCAGTCTTTAGGAGCGGCAGTGGGCGGCGCGAGGGCGGGAGCCACGTTTTGCAGAAACGATTTCTCCTCCATTCGTGAAGCTGCTGCAAACTTTTCAGACGAATGTGAGCCAGAACAACATTTTGAACGCACCCCCCCTCCATCCTGGAATCTGCTGCAGAGTAGAAGCTCCAGGGTAGTAAGTGGTGAAAGCTCAGGCGTAACGCCCGTCTGGCCCTACCAACACGCCATGGGGCGCGACAGGGACGAGTTATCTTTTCAGAAGGGAAGGGGCTTGAGGGGGAGCGGGACGAGGAGAGGGAGGAGGCGGAGAAGGAGGACGACAAAAGACGATGGAGGAGGAGGAGGGCGATGGCAAAAGACGACGACAGCCCCAACGCTATGGAACGCGAGCAGCTGCAGCAGCAGCTTCCGGACCTCTGGAGCACACGCTGGCGCACAGGATGCCACGCGCCGCTCCCGGGCCAACCCCTGCCAGGCGCACTACGAGATCTTCAGCCTCATCCACGAGGACACCCGCGGCTGCCGGTCTCCCGTCTGCCCTGCGGGCTCCCGGGGCTCACGGGGCAGGGGCCCGTGCCAACGGGGGGGTCCGCCAGGGCGCCGGATCTCGCAGGATCCTGCCCGGGCCAGGGGCGCCAGGAGATCCCGCAGGATGCTGCAGGATCTTAAGCAGGAGCCCGGCCGGCCTGGGCCGCCACCGGCCCGGGCCCGCCGGGCGGTCGCCGTCCCTCCGCCCTCTCCCTCGCCGTGGGGGCAGCGGGATTCCGAGGGGAGGCGGGCTCGGAGGTGTTTTTGGGGAGGGGGAAAAACACACACACACACAGACACAAGTCATCGTCGACCCCCCAGAAAACATCGGAAAAGATGGGCAGTGGGGAGGGGAGACGAAAATCCAAAAGATATTGAAGAATATAGGGGGATCCTTTTATTTGTGTGTCCCAGGGCCCCTTCAGTTTTGCGCGCCGTCCGCGGGCTCCCCACGGGCCCTCCTCGGGCCCCCCTGGGCCGTCGGCGGGCGGGCTGCGGGAGGAGGGGCTCGTCCCGGGGGGGGGGGGGGGCCCGGGTGTCCAGGGCCCGGATGTGGCCTTCGGGGCCCGCTTCCCCCCCATGCTGGATTCGGGGGCGGCAGAGAGGAGGGTGACGACTAGGGGGGGTGGGACATCATGGCGGGGGCCACGAGATTTCCCCAGATTTCATGGCGCCTCTTCTTATTTCACTACGCCCCTGGCTCCCCCGCTGGGCCGCGCACGTGCCGCCGGTCATGATTTGCACCCCCCCCCTCTTGGACACCCCCCTCTTGGCCGCTCCCGGATACTGAATTCGGAGGTTGGTAGACCTCCTACCCTGACACGTCGATGAGCGGATTGGCCGCTGTCGGTTCGCGAGAGGGCGTCGCGGCAGTTATTTTTGCGGGTCCAGGTCCGTTGGTTTCGGTTCTAGGTCGTTTTCACTGAAGGGTGGTTTACTAAAGGGAGGTTGTCCACCGCCGATGGATCCCTTCCCGGTTTCTCTCTTTTGTTTGTTTTCTCTCTCTCTCTCTCTCTCTTTCTCGTTCTCTCTCTCCCTCTCTCTATCTCTCTCGCTCTCTCCAGCATCATCGCATTCGCCCTTTCGCTTGCTCTCTCCCTCTCTCTCTCTCACTCGCCCTCTCAGTTTCAGCATAACTGCTTGTTCGCGCCGCTAGTTCTGGCCCACCACGCTTCCGCGCGACACGCTAACCATTTTCCAAGTCCCGAGAGTCAACGTGCCAAGCCGTTTCTCAGCCTCCCGCCCAGCGGAGAGCTGGGCGACGTGCTATCCGCTCTTGAGGGGCACAGCGCGTCGCCGGGGCCGACGCGGCGACACGCTTGAGGAACAATTCCCGTCCACAGATGCTCGCCGCCCAGCTGTTAGCATACAGTTGCCATTTGCTCGATGTTTCCTCCTCCTCCTCCTCCTCCTCCTATTCTTCCGTCACCCCCCTCAGCCTCCTCCCATCCTTCGTCTTCATCCTCCATTGAGTTCGTCCGCCCCCTTCCCATGATTATCGTCGCCCCCCTTCCTCTACTCACCGTCATCGTCTTCACCATGATCTCATACCACCCTGCCCACCTCCTCCCCGTCACCCCTCATCATATTCTTCCTTCCCTAAAACAAGTGCGTCTCACTCCCACTCGTTGTAGCTCTCTCTCTCTCTTGCTCTCTCTCTCTCTCTTTCTCTCTCCCCCTCTCTCTCTCTTCCATGTCACACCCGCTCGTCGTACTCGATTGCCTCACCATCCTCGTCGTGGTATGTCTCATATTCATATTCGCCCTCATTCTCGCAATTTGCATGTTTCATTTTCTGTGTCACTATCGGTATCCATCCTCGTTCTCATCGTAGGCATCCTCTACCACCTTGGCTTCGGCATCCTCCCCCACATGTTTTTCTGACCTTCACCCCCCTTTCATGCTCGTTCTCCCTCACACTTCCCCTTCCCACCTTTACCCTTTCCTTTGCCCTCCCTATGTTCCTTCTTCAATCACCCTTCTTTACCCCCTACTTGCGCTGATGGATGCGCGGGCGCGAAGGGTGTGACACCGTGATCGTTTCATTCTCACAGACAGCCAGCATCATTGCCATCACCTAAACTCGCCACCCTCACTCTCACCCTGTATCGCTTTCAACAGCCCCCCCCCCTGCATCCCTCACACCATGTCCCCTCACTCTGGTCTCTAGTCCCTTATCTCTCCCTCTCTCTCCCTCGCTGTCTCTCTCACTCGCTCTCTCTCTCTCTCTCTTGTTCTCTCTCTCTCTCTCTCTATCTCTCGCACCGCCCTTGGTGCGGCCACAGTCATGTCGAGGCCTGGCCGCGAACGCACAGCGCAACACCCGCGGGGGGCGGTGGATGGGAGGGAGCAGGGGTGGTTAGGGGGTTGTGGGTTTGGGAGAGGGGTCTTGGCGGGAACGAGGGGAAGTGGAGTGGTGGTGGACGCACATCAACGGGAGTGGAGAACGCGAGTGGCAGATGGTCCACGACACGGCGATTACAACAGACCCCCCCCCCAGGTGGATTGCCCCTGGGTCGCAGGGGAGGGCGACGGTGTACAAACCATCGCTGGGGCACGCGGTTCTGTACGCAGCCCCTTCTCCCCGATGGCGAGCATGTGTTCGTAACTCGTCGGCGCCCTGGGATTCGCAGGGCAGGGTGGCGGTGTATAAACCATCGCTGGGGCAGGCGGTTCTGTGCGCAGCCCCTTCTCCCCGATGGCAAGCATGCATTCGTAACGTGTCGGCGCCCGGGGCTTCGCACGGTCTCCGCGGTGCGCGCGGGCACCGCTGGCCCCCCCACCCCCCCGCGCGCGGAGCGCGCCAGGGGCGGCGTCGAAGGCGCCCGTCGGGTGGGCCCAGCGCTGACCCAACAAATGCGCGCGGACCCCCGACAGTTTATATATATATATATATGTATAGAGAGAGAGAGAGGAAAGAGAGAGAGAGAGAGAGTCCGTAGCCATTTCGGCTCAAGGCCATGAGACACCCGACGACCGCGAGTCCCTCGTGGGCGTCCCTGGAGCGCGAGGGGTCTCGCGCTTTGAGCCAGGACTCTTTGCAATTTCTCGGCCATCGCTCCAGGCCGCGGCGGGCGGCCGCCCTGTTCTCTCTAGCTGTGCTGGGGGCGCTTTTTTTCTCTCTCTCTCTCTCTCTCTCTCTCTCTCTCTCTCTCGGAGAGTGCAGGCCATGGCAGGGGGCGCTGGCAGCGGCGGGCGCGGCGGAGGTGGCAGCGGCAAGTCAGGGGGGCCTGGTGGCGGGCCCCGCAGCCTCGGGTCTGGGGCTGCGGCCAGGGCAGCTGCCAGGTGCCCCTGGTACTGCAAGTCCTGCAGTGTGCCAGACGCCAAAGGCTTCAGGAAGCTCAACTTCGGCGAGCGGCTGCAGTGCAAGTGGTGCAACATGCCGAAGAGCACCCACTTCTGCGGGAAGCCCGAGCATGCGGCGCCGTCGCGCAGCAGTGCCGAGGTCAAGCTCGCCCAGGTGCTCGACCAGCTCAAGAAGTTCAAGGCGGCGGCGGGCCAGCCTGGGCCTGGTGGAGGCCCCTCGCCCGGGGGAGGCGCAACCCCTTGGCGAGACGGCGCAGCGGCGGACCCAAAGCGCCAGCGCTTGGAGCAGCTGGAGAAGCAGCTGGGCGAGATTCGGCGCTGGGCGGACATGGAGGACGAGGTCGATGACTTCGTGGAGGCTGCCCGCAACAGGAAGGCCAAGCTCGAGGCGGAGCGCGAGCAGCTGCGCCAGGAGGTCTTTCTGGCCAAGCCAAAGGATGTGCAGCTCAGGAGCCTCGCGGACCAGATCAAGAAGCTGGAGAAGCAGCAAGATAAGGGCCGTGAGGAGATGGAGGCAGTGGCGGCGAAGCAGAAGGAGCTCGAGGCCAAAGCCGACGCGCTGCGCCTGGCGGACGTCGAGCGCGAGGCAAGGCTGGTCGAGCTCAGGGCGGAGCAGTCACGCACGCTGGGCAAGTTGGCGCAACCTCCTGCTGTGGTGCATGACGGCCTGGAGGGTGAAATCGAGGTTGAGGGCCTCAAGTTCCCCGCTGACTTCCTGGGCAAGGTGATCGGCTCGTTCGGGGTCGATGGGGCCCTGCATGCGTCTTTGCTGGAGCAGGCGACCAAGTTCGAGCAGCAGTGCCACGAGGCCAGGGCTGCGGAGGCTGCAGCGGCAGCAGCCGCCAGGGCGACTGAGCGGGCCAGCGGGCCTGGAGCGGGTTCCCCTGAGGAGGGCCGCGCCCCGATCCCTGGAGAAAGGGTCCCTGCAGGATGCGACGCCATGGGCGACGAAGAGCTGGGCGTCGACGCGCAGCTCAGCTTCCTCACGAAGGTGGGAGCCGCCCCAGCTGGGGCCGAGGGCAGCGATCGCCCTGCTGATGATGACGCGCGTGAGGCCTTCAAGCGGTTCTACGCCGACCTGGGCATGTTGCCGCCCAAGCGGGCGCGCACATCGGCCTGAGGGCCTACATGGTGCTATGACAGGCATCAGCGGCAGGTGGGAGGCCTACTACAACGAGTTGCACGAGGCTGGCGAGCAAGCTGCCCTCGACTTGGGCGACTGCAACTCCTGGGGCAAAGGCGGATGCCCGAGCCAGGGGGGCCAGGTGCAGTCTGGTCGCAGCGCGGCAGGGGCTGCTGGGGGCACGGTGCTGGGGCAGCAGCACGCGGGCGAGCCGCAGGCGCGCGGCGCTGGGGCAGCCTTCGGAAGGGATGGGAGTCAGCAGGCCCCATCGGGGCTGCTGGGGGTGTTCGGCTTTCAAGGGTTCGGCCCCAGGATGTCAGAGCCGGCTGACCAGATGTGGCAGCCGCAGGTGTCGGCCTCAGGGCACGGCCTGCACGATGTGATTGGAGGTGACCTCTCGGGGGGGGCGGGCCTTCAGACCCACTCTGGGCTGATGGGGGTGTTCGGCCATCAAGGGTGCGGCCCCAGGATGTCAGAGATGGTCGACCAGGAGGGCGCGCCCGACTGGCGACCGCGGGCGTCGGCCCCAGGGTACGGCCCAGGGGGGGGGG